CTTATATTTTTTTACGGAGGGAGTCCGCTTAATAATTTCTTGTTCCAGCCCCACCATGCATCCTATTTTATCCTGCAGGGAAGAAAAGCTTTGAGCCTGTTAAAGTGTATGTACTAGTTAAACCTGCTGTCCTTGAGTTGGCAGTAATCGATCACCTTATCCTAATTATCTAATTCAGTTTGTTTAAACTTTGCAGATCAAAAAGCATGCTAGCTAGCTAGCACCCCTTTGATCAAAAAGTTGAGCCCGGCCGGCGAGTATGATCAAAAAGTTGATGCAAATTAAAGCTCAAGGACGGACGAACTGTAGTAGGGTATTACATATATACAGAGACCATTGAACTACTCAATGCTGGCTACAATACAATGTATGTTGAGAATGGAACGATCGATCGGAATAGAATAAAAGCAGCAATCATGTGCTTTTCTTTTCATTTTCCAACGAAATCATCAAAACAAAAACCTGAGAAATTAAGCACAACCATACAAGCATCCTTTTGATCAGTACAAGCTTCACACTCTGTTTTTTTTCCTTTTCCAACGAAATCATCATCAGAACAAAAAGGGACCTGAGAAATTAAGCACAACCATACGTAGCATATAAGAGTATCACACACAAACAAACCTAGTGTTGTTGTAAGCATTTGATCATGCATGACACGGATCAGGGGAGGATGCAACCATACCATACCATATGTTGTTGCAAGCATTTGATCATACTCCAGCGCAGGGCAGACGCATATAAATCAGGGGAGGAGGCAGTTGGCGGTGATGGCGCGGTAGAAGCACATGCGGAATGTAGGAGCGTACACGAAGATGCTGGCGTGGCACTTCCAGGCGAAATGCCCAACGCATGGCAGTAGTTCGTCGCTGATCTCTACGCCGATGCAGTGGTCCTCCTTCTTGGCCTCCTTGTCCTTGGCCAAGCACTTGTCCTGCAGGACGGCACCGAGGAAGCATGGCTGGAAGGTAGACTCCCCGGTGACGGTGTTGATGGCGAAGCACGTCAGTGCGGCGTTGGCGACGCAGGCCGTCTTTGCACTCTTGGTGCTTACGCCGACACATAGTTTGTCCTCTGCCAGCGCCCGTGCCGGTGCCGGTGTGGCGGAGACGCCGGCGCCGCATATGAGCACTAGGACAAGGAGGGACTGGAAGGTGGTGGCCATCGAGCTTAAGCTTGGTTGGTTTCTTCTTCTTCTTCTTCTTCTTTTTTCTTTAGGGGAGGGAGGAGGAATCGAGCTTGGTTTCTTTCTTTCTTTCTTGGGTTGATGAAGAGACTTAGCTTCAGATCCCCATATTTATAGTTGGGCTAATCGTCCATGGAAATTTAGATTTCTCGTTTTTGTTTTTTTTGACGTCAGCACACAATGCAAGCCCAACCTAGTACTGAACATAATCTCATAGCTTAGATTCTAGCGAAAGCGACACAATATGCACAAGGCCATAGTTTAGATTTTGGTGAGAGCGACATTAGGTACCAGATCCAAAGTGGTGAATTGAATTGAATGAAGAAAAAGAAAACATCATAATCCATCCTAGAAAGAAAGTACATATAGTACTGAAATAAAAGTATGTTGGCCTCCTTATATTTCATGGCAAAAATACTCGGCCAACTTGAAAACCACTCTGCAAAGACCAGAAACTCATGTGGCTCTTCAAGACCTTCTAGATTAGTTCAACTTGTGTGGGCTTGATATGTTTGTGTTCATTCGCCCAAATGTTCCTACAAAAATCATTAGGGAATCGGCGACCAATAGCAGATGGATTCTCAAAAGAGAAACATGCACCCAAACTCAATGCGGTGTATTTCGACTCAAAAACAAAAATTATTATGTGATCAACAACTCTTTAGATGAAGTATAAACATTTACGATGTACAGCACGAAAGATATCTCCCAAAAAGCACTTTGACTTTGACTCCACCTCTCACAGACATAGGAGCTTGGCAAACAATTTCATCGCCATGAGCCAAACCACAAGTACAGATCTGAAACCAGACATTAGAAAGGAAGCATTTCATCGCCATGCACTGAATGAAGGTCACATGCTAACCTATACTATGGCTGAGGACCACCCTACCTTGCCCCCACAAAGAGACCACCATACCAGATTTATCCACATGCCGATAACGAGCTAAAAATGAAGAGAAAAACCATACCGGATTAATCCACATGCCGGTAACGAGCTAAAAATGAAGAGAAAAAAACATAATATACATGCTAGCTGAAAACATAAAAAAAAAACTGCGATGTGATTACTTAGGTGGTGCCAAACTATATCACCAACGGGCAACATTTAACTACACTAGTTATGTCTGGAGTACTGTTATAGTAGTAAAGTTCACAACAAAGAAGAGGATCCACGCTTCACTCATGTCGGTAACCAATAAATTAGGGATTTTTCCTCTTTTTCCTGGACAGCTCAGATCCTGTTGGATGGCCTCTCTGTCGAGACCATTGAGTTTGACGACAGACTCCACTTGCCCTTTGAGCGTATGAAGCTCCCTCAACCCGTAGCAACCATGACACTGTAGTTAGTTTCACAATCTTTGTCGACAAAGACAACTATTTATGTCACGATTGATTGACAAAACAAAAGCCGAAACAGAGGGTACGTGTCTGAGGCCGATATAACGTCACAATCCTACAAGTATATTATCATCAAACAGAGGAGAGGAGGCTTTCCCTTTTCCTCCTGGCTGGCTAGATTCCAAGCTCAACCCGGCCCAACCAACGTACACACGTACTCATCACACTTGTCCATCTATCCATCGTTTTTCTTTCTAACTTGCATCTTCCCTCTCAACAACCAACCACTTTGGTTTGGTACTAGTGATTTGGTTGGGGCCTGTCATTGCTGGCCTCTTGAGAGGAAATTACGCGCGCATTTCTTTTTCTCAAAGGAAAAAAAAGAGAAAAAAATGGCCTTACTTGAACATGATCTATTCTAAAAAAACCCTCATCTTCATCTTAAATTTTTTAAAAAATTTCTCGTATCACTTGAACATCACATCCATCTCAAAAAGAAAGAAAAAACCCTAAAAAACTTTACGCAGAAAGAAAAAAAAATCTCACTTTCATCTACCAAAAAAAATGTCAAATAAAAATATGAACACCACATCCATCTCCAAAAGAAAAAGAAAAAGCCTAAAAACTTTTCTCAAAAAGAAAAAGAAAATTGCCACTTCCAAAAATAATCTCTAAAAAAACTTTTCTCAAAAATAAAGTTTCACTTCCATCTTTCAAAAATAATCTCAAAAAGAAAATCCAACAGTTTCTCACCGCGGCCAACCAGCATGCACCACGTGGCCATGCAGGCTGGCCGCCATTCTCCCACGCGTTAATGTGTGTGATATGAATACGCTTTCCTTTCTTCCCTTTATAAATCCAATAAAAGTTGATTTTTTTTGGATAAAGGATGCTTTTGTTAACTTATAATGTAGCATCAAGTAGATATAAAAGTGAACTTATGGTTAAGTTTCAAGACTGAAAAGATTTGGAAGGCGCGCGCAAAGCTTAAGGCTACTCATAGTGGGGAGTATCATATATTAGTATTATACATATGATAGAGTAGTATCATAGATTATCATTTAATAGATTATCATAGCATAGTATCATATATTACTAGTAGTGCATAGTATCATAGAGTACTACTCCCTTCGTTTAGGTGTGTAAGTCATCTTACGTTGTGCACCGCGACCAAGGCGGAGAGGAAAACGAGAAAACTTAATGTCTTTTTGCTAATTAATAGCATTGCATGCAATGAACTAACCATTGCATGTCATGTTTGATAGTCTCAAGTCATTGAAAGCATGCACGGCCCACATCTCTTATTGGTTGATATGTCACAAAACAAGAAACGAGGAGAGAGTTAATGTACCGTGCCTAAGTGTTTTGGAATTATTTGGTTTTCGTAAGGTGACTTACACACCTAGACGGAGGGAGTATCATAGATTATCTTATTTATTGTCATGCATGACACAAAGTAGCATATCATTTAATATGATAGGGTATTGACCTATATTACTCTAACCCTCTCTCTCTTCTTTCATTTTCTTTGCCACACCAGCGTGTTTGCTATTCCCAAATACATGATAGTACCTAAGATACCACCATTATGACTAGCCTAAATGTAGGTTATTTTCCTCGCTCGTGCTTCGTGTACACATTCTTACCGCCCATAATAATCTAGCCAGGAATCCGCATCGGCCATGCTGCCCCCGATTTTGACCAACCGAATAACCATCCCTTCCGACTGTTGAGTATATATTTTGTGTTCCATGTATATTCGTATTGTAGCCCACTTCCTAGTTGTGTATAGTTGATGTTAATGCCTACCCTGTAATTATATATACGTGCACCGGTACCTCATCAATACATCGATTATTGTATTGCCAACTTGTCCGTCTACACCCACCAACACCCACGGCTCACAACACACTCCCACTTAAAAATCGAGCCCACCCAACACTAATTCTCTTCACACTACTCCAGGGTGTGACTGAGTCAAAATCGAGGGACACAATCCAAAATCAACGATCCCAATATTGGATGCGAGGCCTTTAAAATTATGATGCATGGTGATATAGAAGATGTGTTCCTGATTTTCTTCCCCCATAATACAATACGACAACAAGGCAAAGCTGAAAGATTGAATGGACTTTTTACACAACTCCTTGCATTTCCTATGTTCCGTATTATATTATTATTAGTAGGAGGAGGATGTAGCAAGGATCTTTGTGCCACACTCCTGATCCGATGCTCTGAACGTCCTTGAACTACATATTTATCTACAAATATACAATTCTAATCCTTGCCGATCGATCAGGGAGCTTGATTGACAGCCGATATACGTATAAAGAAGAAGAAGAAGAAGAAAAGAATGAAAGAATTGTTTGATCCTTCCTCTCTAGCTCTAGCTAGGCTAGCCAGTTGTTGAGGTGGTGAGCACGCGCGCGTGTCCTCATCAATGTCAATGTTAGAGGGAGGGAGGGAGGGAGGGTCAGAGTGCGACGATGGCGAGCAATGCGAGCACGGCGACGACGGCGCCCCACGCGGCGGCGGCCCTGGCGGCGCCGGAGTCGTCCTGGTGGGTGAGGTCGTGCCGGCCGGTGTCGATCATGATCTTGAAGCGGCAGGTCCCCCGCGACGGGTTGGTGGTGGTGACCACGGAGAGGTTGTTGAAGCCGCAGGAGCCCTTCTGCTGGCTGGCGGACTGGAAGAACTGGTTGAAGGCGTAGGAGACGTTGCCCCGGACGTCGAGGCCGCCGCAGGAGGAGCCGGGGCTGAGGCTGGTGCAGTCGGCGTACTGGCACGCGTACCCGACGGCGCCGATGATGGCCGGGTCGGTGGGGCTGGCGTCGGGGCGGAGCACGCACCACTGCTTGGAGAGGTACCTGACGCCCTTGGCCGGCACGATGCCCTTGCCGCCGGCGAGCCGGAGCGCGTACTTGGGCGAGCCGTCGTAGTTGAAGACGCCCCAGTGGCGCTCGAAGTTGCCGGGGTCGACGCTCTTGGCGTCCTTGTCCAGCAGCGCGAACATGTAGACGTCGGGCATCTGGGGCCGGCGCGGGGTGCCCTTGCCGGCGACGATGCGGTCGAAGAGGCCCTGGTTGAACTTGTGCGCTCCGGCGGCGTTGGCGTTGGCGTCGCCGTCGGTGGGCCATCCGATCTCGCCCACCACGACGGTGATGTTCCCGAGGCCGTGCTTCTTGAGCGCGGCGACGAGGGTGTCGTAGTTGGCGTCGAAGACGTTGGTGTAGAGCACGTTGCCGTCCTGCACGCTGGCCTGGGAGGGGGGCGCGCCGGGGGCCGGGAAGAAGGCGTAGTCGCGCGGGAAGTTGGCGTCGGCGTCCATGGAGAGGAAGGGGTAGATGTTGATGGCCAGCACGCCGCCGCTGTCGAGGAGGAAGCGAACGAGGCTGGTCATGAGGGCCGTGATGTCCGGGCGGAAGTCGCCCGAGGAGGGGCGGCCGTCGAGCGACTCGTAGACGTCGGCGTTGAGGGGCACGGTGACGCGCACCTGGCGGGCCAGTCCGGCCTTGACGAGCGCCGCCTGCATGTTGTGCACCGCCGGGAGCGTGGCCGCCGAGAGCATGTTGCGCACCTGGCGTGGTGACGATGATGATGTTCTACCGGCGCAGGGCTTCGTCTAAACTCCGCGACGATATGACCGAGGTGGAATATGATGGAGGGGGGCACCGCACACGGCTAAGGAACGATCCGTAGATCAACTTGTGTGTCATGGGGTGCCCCCTGCCCCCGTATATAAAGGAGCAAGGGGGGAGAAGGCCGGCCCTAGGAGGGGGCGCGCCAAGTGTGGAGTCCTACTAGGACTCCCTAGTCCTAGTAGGATTCCACCTCCCTTGTTGGAGTAGGAGAAGGGGAAAGAGGGGGAGAGGAAGAAGGAAAGGGGGGATGCGCCCCTTGTCCAATTCGGACCAGAGGGGGGGCGCAGGCCTCCTTCCTTTTGGCCACTCTCCTCTACTTCCATATGGCCCAATAAGGCCCATATACTCCCCGGCGAATTCCCGTAACTCTCCGGTACTCCGAAAAATACCCGAATCACTCGGAACCTTTCCGAACTCCGAATATAGTCGTGCAATATATCGATCTTTATATCTCGACAATTTCGAGACTCATCGTCATGTCCCCGATCTCATCCGGGACTCCGAACTCCTTCGGTACATCAAAACTCATAAACTCATAATATAACTGTCATCGAAACCTTAAGCGTGCGGACCCTACGGGTTCGAGAACTATGTAGACATGACCTAGAACTATTCTTGGTCAATAACCAATAGCGGAACCTGGATGCCCGTATTGGCTCCTACATATTCTACGAAGATCTTTATCGGTCAAACCGCATAACAACATACTTTGTTCCCTTTGTCATCGGTATGTTACTTGCCCGAGATTCGATCATCGGTATCCAATACCTAGTTCAATCTCGTTACCGGCAAGTCTCTTTACTCGTTACGTAATGCATCATTCCGTAACTAACTCATTAGCTACATTG